CCCCCCCGCCGGTTCCCCCTCGGCCACGTCCCCTGCACCGGGGCAGGCACGGCACAGCCCCCGGGCCCCTCCAAGCCTCGCGAGGCTCGAGCCCTCCCTGGCCTGTGCCCAGCTCAGGACCTGCTGCGGGGACAGGCTCCGGCACGGCCCTGATGGCAGCGGGGAGCTCCCAGAGCCAGGCTGAGACTCCCCCGACACCCCCGGACCTGGCGGGGGGGTTACACGGGGGAAACTGAGGCACCATAAAGCAGTGATGGGGAACAAGACCTTTGCTCCTGGCCAGCACCCAGCACCCTCAGCCCTCCCTGTGGTCTGGGAGGATGCTGAGCATCGCACAGAATCCGGCCCAGGCTGCAGCCTGGCTTGAACCCAGGCGTCTCGTGCCCCTCAGAGCTGCGCTGAGCTGGGATGGGCACCGCTGCTGGGCAGCGGCATCTCAGCCTGGGGTGGGGGCTCTCCTGCAGCCCCTCGCCACCCACCCAGCTCAGCAACATCCCCCCCCCGCTTTCGGGGATGGGTGTAAAGGAGCTGCCAAAATGCTGCCCAGGACTTTCCCTGGCGCCAACGTTTGCCACACGTGGTGGTGTGTGGCCCGGGTTTCTCTACAGCCCGCCCGCAGTGCCTTCCTCCCCAAGGCAGCTCACCTCCCGCTGCCTGCCCCGGCTGGAGGGTTTGGCCCCCGAAGCGCCTGGCGTGCGGCCCTGCGCTCGGGGATGGGTGTAAAGGAGCTGCCAAAATGCTGCCCAGGACTTTCCCTGGCGCCAACGTTTGCCACACGTGGTGGTGTGTGGCCCGGGTTTCTCTACAGCCCGCCCGCAGTGCCTTCCTCCCCAAGGCAGCTCACCTCCCGCTGCCTGCCCCGGCTGGAGGGTTTGGCCCCCGAAGCGCCTGGCGTGCGGCCCTGCGCCGAGCCCGCGGGCACAGGCTGCGGGGGGGACGGCAGCCCCCCCCCCGCTGCCTGCCCCGGCTGGAGCGCCGCCCCCCCCCGCCGATGAGCGGGAGATTTCAGCTTCCAAAACACGGCCGTGAGTCAGGCACCTCCTTCCCGCTGGTTTTTGGGTGGTCTGGGACAAGCTGGGACAGGCGTTGGCTCTCCAGGCTTCCCGGCAGCACGCAGAAGCACCAAGGCTGGCAGCCCTGCCCCGGCATCCTGGGGGGGTCAGCCCCACGCCGCTGGCACCAGGAGCCCACGGGGATTTGGGGCTTCCTTGGAGGCTGGCAGCCTGGCAGGGGTCTGTCCTCTGCTGGGTGTCCCCCGCTGTCTCCAAGGCCACCACTGCCCATGGCTGTGTCCCCCTGACCCCGCGCAAAGCCCCGGAGGATTGTGACCGGAGGGGATGGGGCCGTGCACCACAGGGAGGGACAGCCAAAGCCCCTGGAGTCCCCAGCACAGGGACCATGGGGACCGCAGAGGTGAGGGTGCCTTCTGGGGACCTCCTGGCATGCTGACCTAGCCCTGGCCTTCATCCTCCCTGGCAGAGCCCCCGAGGGCGGTGAGGTGGCCCTGTGCCGGGTGCTGTAGTCGGCTGCAGCCTCCTGTGGGACCCCCTGGGTGGGGAGGGCGGCTGCGCCCCGCGGCCGCGGCGTGCCAGCATTTTGCAGATAAAACATGCCACCAGGAGCAGGGACTGTCTGGGTCTGTCCCCTGAGACAGCCACGACGCTGGGCAAAGTCACATGCCGTGTGCGTGTCTCAGCTGAGACCCAGCAGCAGCTCGGCACACGTCCCCCCAGCTGGTGTGGGCAGCTCCCGGCCCCTGCACCCGCAGCCGCCCAGCTCCCTCCAGGGCAAGCGCCCGTCTGCACGCCTGAGCGCGCCGGGGAGGCGGGCGAGGCTCTCGACGGGATCCCCACGGGCTCTGCCGGCGCAGCTGGGCGGCTGGGAGCCCATCTGCCCCCAGGAGCTGTCTGTGGTTCCCCCGTTTGGGGGGTCCCTTAGCGGGGTGGGAAGGGTGCGGTGTGGGACGGGACGGGATGGGATGGGGTGCCCCACCCCAGCGGGAAGGCATCGCCAGCGCTGCTGGGGATGCTCCGTGGGATGGCACAGTGCCTGCATATGGATCCTGGCTCCTCCAAGGCCCCACCAAGCTGGGGCTCTGGCTGGGGACCGGAGAGGAAACGGGAGTAGCGGGACGGCCAGAGAGGGCTTGCAGTGTGGCAGCAAAAGGACAGGAGAGGGGACAACTGGGAAAAACCAGCCCCCGTTGAGATGGGCAGCAGCCGCCTGGGCAGTGTGGGGTTAAGGATTGGCCCCAATCAGCCCTCCCGGGCTCAGCTGCCCACCAGGAGATTAGAGAGGGCTAAAAACCGCCCAGGTTGTGCCAGCTCCCAGGTGGGTCTCGGGCTTGGGCTTGGTCTCCCCATCACGTCCCTGGGGCAGGATCAGGGTGGGCAGGGGCTGGTGACTGTCCCTGGGGCTCCTGCCTGTCCCAGGGCCGGGGGCTGTGGCCCCCCGTAAGGGGGGAGCAGGGAGAGTAGAGGGGAAGGTGAATGGACAGAGGTCTGGGAACGAGGTTTTATTGAGGAAGGCAAACACTGCTGCTGCTGCAGGAGGCCGAGTGAGGTGCTGGGGCTTCTTGTGCAGCCTGGGGGGGGATGTGCCTCCCCTTTGCCAAGAGCCAGAGTCGGCCTCCTGCCCTGCCCTGGGTCGAGGAGCCCTGAGCATCAGCTCCCAAACCCCCCCGGAGCTGGGAGGACCTGGGAGTCCTGGCCCTCTTCTCCCCTCCTGGGCGCTGCCATTCGGCTGCCCCTTCTGATGGCGGTGCCCTTGCACGGTGCGATGCACCCAGTCGATGTAGTTGGAGATCTTGGTGTAGATGTCAGGGTACCGGCGGTCCCCACATCTCTCCCCAGAGAATGAGACGATGCCATAAACCTTTCCCTTGAAGGTCAGGGGTCCCCCGGAGTCGCCCTGCAAAGCAAAGGGGTGGGAGGGAGATGAGCGGGTCTCCTGGAGGGGGATGGCCGGGGCGCACGGCACTGGGAGCGCACTCACCGCGCACACGCCCTGCAGCGTGGTGTTGCGGCTGGCCCCGCACAGCATGTTGGCCGAGACCTTGCCCCTCCACAGCGTTCGGCAGATGCCCCGCTTGACGATGGTGGTGACGGTCTCCATCAGCTCGGTGGGCCGGTCGCTGTAGTTGGAGATGTCCCCCCAGCCCATCACGTAGCAGACGGTGCCGGGCTTCAGGTCAATGTACGGCGAGGGCAGGCGGATCCGCTTCACGTACTTGTTCAGCGTGGCCGATCTGTTCAGCTGGGCAGGGAGCGGGGGGCGCAGGTGGCTTCGCTGCTGGGGCAGAGCCCCCCCCCCCTGCC